CACTTTTCCAACTTTATATTCAGACCTACGCATTTCATCTTCTGTCCGTGTTTGTAAAAGTGTGTCTAAAAGTTTGCAATTATGCGAAAATGCTTGGGAAATGTATCATATCATAACTTCCGTATGAATTTATATGAAATCTAATTGGTTAAATTGCGAGTACAATTATTGATTTATGTTTATCAAAGTTAAACCTGCATTAGCTTATGTTTTGGCTCGTTGGGGGGCCCACAACAAACTGTGCACACATTTACATATTATCAGTATTTAAAGTTAATATGGCAAATGTGTAAGCAACATTTTTTTTTTTAGTTTTCGCCTTCCTGACACAGAGCAACATTATCATTCATTTGTTTTTCTGGTCACCTGATGAATGTTAGTTCAATATGCACTCCTTTTCACTCTGTTTTGGTCTCCACCACCACCATGTTTCCTGCTGGGCAGGTAGTGTACAGTCGGTTTATTTCACTGAAAACAGCTGCCTGCTGGAAACGAATCCGATGACAGCGGTGAATCTGAACCAAAACTGTAAAGTTGTTTTGTGTAAAAACCAAAGTAATGAGCTGAAAGACAATCGCTCAATTGTTACGAGGGAAACTACAGACAATGATAATTATCTGACACATTTAACATTACATGTTAGAAATTTTTACACAAACATATGGATTAATGCAGCTTTGAGGCAAGATACTTCCAATGGTTGTTCTTGTAGTTCTTGTATCTTCTGGGTTTAAAACATCCCAAGAAAAAAAGGAAAAACCAGAGAAAAATGCCCATTTATTATGATTTCAATCTGAAGTTTACCTGGGGGTAAAAAAAGAAGTATTTCAGGATTAAATTAATCGGTAGTATACATTTAGGAGGAAGTTAAGCATGTGTTGATGAAGATAAACATTTGGCCAATCGTGGAGCAGTTATGTCAAAGTTGTTTATTGTCCTTTCATGAACGGAGTGTGTGTGTATACACTAGATATATTGTGAGTGTATGCAAAGTCTCCAACTGACAAAAGCATGCACAAACGCGCTCAGGGACCAAGCCTTGATGGGAGCTGTGTGTTAATTCTGCCATCGCAGGAATGAACACATCATCCTGAGGGTCGAGTGAGTTGGTTAAAGCCCCGCAGAGCTGAGAGAGGTGTCGGTATCATACATCTAAACCAAGAACAATCTGGATCTCATTTAGGCCTGTAGCCTGCCAGTGCTGGAGTGAAGACATCCAGACTGCAGCCACACTCGCCCAACAAAGCTTTCGGCACTGAGGCGCAGCCGAGCCAGGAGAAATAGACCGGATCCCCAATAGCCAGAGTTCTCGGTGACCTGAACCACCCCCTTCAGTAGAGGATGGAAACCATTGCATGAAAACTGAAGACCCATGCAAGTACAGAATCATTGGTGTCCCCTTGTCCGAGGTGTTATCTGCTGTTATCACTGTAATTGGAGCAATAGGGGGTCATTTCCTGCCAGAAAGGAGCTTAATTGTGATGACTCATTGCTCCTCGCTTCAACTCCCCAGCAACTGCCCAACTGTTGTCAGAAGAAGACCAGATCGCCTGTACCCATTTTCTACTCCCCCGCTAAACTTTTCCTCTGAACTCATTCCTCAACTCATCCCTCCTTCTGAAGCCACTGTGCCCTGCGAGCACTTCAAAAGAGCACAGATCCTCATGAATCTCCCTTGAGAGGCTCCCAAAAAACCGCAGCAAGTCGGCTGGAAAATCCAAACAAACAATGCGCTGATGAGTGGGTTGAGTAGTCTTAGGTCATACACTGCAATGCCGCGAGCCCATTGAGTGATCGCATTCTGGAAAGTAAACATCAGGCTTCAGGGAGGCTATATGGAAATGTGGAGAAAGGAGGATAAAGTGGAAGAGGAGAGGGACAGTCTTCTGCTGCTGTGTGTATGTGTGTGATAGAAGAAGAAAAAAAAGAGATACAATTGCAAGCAGTGAGGAATGTATTCTTATCGTCACAGAGCTGGTCTGGCTAGTCCTGATTTTGGGGACTTATCAGCGGATTAGGACTGAGGACTGAGTGGTGATAGATGGCAGGAGGGGCGGCGGTGCGATAGCCTTAGAGAGACCCCGGCCTGAAGTGTTTAGGTGATGAGGAAGTGGACTGGAGAGGACTTGGCAGGCAAAAACCATTTATATGGTGTTTTGAAGCCCAATATGCCAGACTCATATCTTCGCCTCTCAACTCCCCCCCTGAATGTCTGACAGGCAAAAGTTAAAGAAATAACGTTTGAGATATTTGAATGTTTTATTGTGCTGGGATGAAGAGTAGGTCAGGCTTATGTGCAAGTCAAAATTCACTTTCAAAAAGTAAATTTAAAACAATGATGCCATATGAGTTATGTTTCCAACTCTCAAACTGTAGGTGGTCCTCTTATACTTTTGACAACCATGTTTCACCACGCAGGCTGAAAAACATCAAGGCCGTAAAAGTATTAACACTACAGCTGACACTTGCAGCTTAGAGATGCCATCATAACATCACTCCACCGGTAGAGTCAAATCAGCGGGGCGGCAGAACCCCCCCTTTTCACCACAAACGGTCCTGTCGGTCACATAACTGGTCCATCAAGGTCAACATTACATCCACACCCAAAGAGGAGCCGGCTCAGCTGAAAGCAGTCCAGCATCACAGCGGTGTGTGTGGCCAAAAACAAACATTAAGAATACCAGAGAGGGAAATCCATGTGGAGCGTGTTTCCAGGGTTGCTGCACAGAAAGTTGAGTTTAAAAGAAGTCAGAAACATGGAGGTAAAAATTTGAGTGAGGAATGAAAAAAAAAGAATCTGGAAAAGTGTGATTGAGCGAGAGAGATGAAACAGTAACAGGGAAACAGACAGGACTGAGTAACACACGAATGATCAAGAAGAAGACATGAAAGAGGACAGCTTTTCCTTTTCCTGTACAGATTGGTGTGTGTCCTGTCCGTCTGTTAGACTACTCGTCCTCAGCGTCAGTCCCCCGTTTCTCTCTGAAGCTTTGATGTGAGGCCTCTACGTTCACCCCGACAGGATATTACTCTTTAATGATCTCCTGATAGGGTTCCCCTCCTACACACAGCAGTGCAGACAGCAGAGATTGTGGGTGAAACATTATAAAGACGCTCAAACAGAGCGGTAGAGAAAGTTCACCCACCAACTTCAAGTCCTTTACAAGCCTCTCGAGCACATACACACGCATGCACTGACACAAATAGGCCGCAGTCGTCCATTGTGATGATGGTTCACGCTTTTATTTCAGCCGGAAGGCTCGCACTGATCACATCTTTCAAAGGTTGTCTCGGTTGTATTGTGTCTGTTGAATTCACTCATGTGTGTCAGCAGCCATGTTTCCAACTTCTGACCAAACTACGCTGTAGCTGAGTTTATTTGCTCCAAACCAGTTTATGGAATCGTGCATAACTTGCATTTAATTTATTCAACATTTCCTTAATTCGCTTGACAGTTCAATGGAAACGCAGTTAGTATGTCAGCAGTCACACTTGACCGATGTTATCAGGAGCCACAAAGGAGCCACTCGACCTGGTCAGACACTAAAATTACATTTGGATGAGGACCATGTGAGACAGAGACAGTCGGAGTGAAATATAGAAGAGGTGTGAAAAGAAAGAAAGAAAGAACTAAGCTTGTGTATTGTCCACACTACACAAAGGAGGATTATTCCTCTAAACCAGGTAATCACACAGCAAACAGGTTTGAATAGTCAGACTCTGTAGTGTAATGTCTCAGCCGGATAAAGAGCAGGATTTCCAACAGTCAATACATTGTGAGTTAGGAAAGTAAATAAGTGTTACAGCAAACGCAAAGCCACCGCTGATTTAATGTGTTCAGGGGAACAGTGAGTTTGTGTGCTTCTCGACAACATGTCATCATACCAAGCACTACCAAAACAAAAACCGATAAAAGTTGTGTTTGAGGCTCGTGCAGCGTCCCTCTCACGTCTCCCCTGCTTTGTTTCGTCCTGAGAAACCTTCTGCACACCCTGCAGGGGAGGTTCAGGTGAGCCACTGAAGCGTGTCAAAGCACGCCGAAATCGTACTGACAGGCTCTGGGAATTGGGATGCCATCACTGATAAGCCATGTGAATCGGATTTGCTTCACTTCCCTGGCGGCATAAGTAGGGGGTTTCAGAACAGATAATCGTGGGAACAATAAATCTAAAACCCAAACTCGAAAACAAAGGCTACATTTCAGTTGACTCTGGGAGTTTGGGGGAATTGTTACTGAGCTGTGTCGTTTGAAAACTGGTTCTTCCAGCGTAGTTGCAGCTTTCACTTATTTGGAAAGTGATGTTTAGTTAGTATGAGCAAACACCTGCCAATTTACAGCACTTCCTCTTAATTTAAGATTTTCTCAAGGTGTTCTCAGTGCACTTTGTGAGGTTTTTGCAGCCTTGCAAATGTTTCCTTCTCACAGGCTTTTTATAGCTAACACACTGTATATTGCATAGATACGTATGTAACTTATTATAGGGAATATTTGAGGAGGGGTCCTGCGTAACAAAGTCAACAACTTTTCTTTTGCTGTCATCGTGTTATCATTGTACACAAAAGAATGGGGTCTGCATGATGAAATCAGGGAAATCTGTCTGTGCTGGACTGTGTATCGTTGACATTATGTGACCTTTTGAAATGTGAAGAAGTGCCACAGCTCTAGCCGTCGTGGCTCTGTAATCAGACCCACTGATTACACTGACGGGCCTCGATGAGATCCCAATGTAATGATCGCTCCAGGTCCTCCTCATATGTCAGTCATCAAGAAGAGGTTTTATGGTGCGCAGCCAAGAGAAGTCTGTCTGTATGTCTGTCTCTGTGTGTGTGTGTGTGTGTGTGTGTGTGTGTGTGTGTGTGTGTGTGTGTGTGAGAGAGAGACAGGAAGAGGGTGTGAGAGAGAGAGAGAGAGAGAGAGAGAGAGAGAGAGAGTTCGGTTTAAGACCAACCTCCTTTAGCTGTTGCATGTTTCAACTAAGGTCTTAGTTCACTCCCTCTGCCTTGTCTGACTCAGTTGGTGCCTGTGTTTGGATTCTCCTCAGTGAGAAGCAGATGAGGTGATAAACGGCAACTCTACATCAATTTCAAGGTAACTTCTTAATGATTCTCTTTTCTTCCAGTGCAGTGTGTGATAGATGATGTCATCATTGAAATTGTTGGGGGTCATATTTATACGGTTACATTTGTGTCGTGTTTTTTCTAACAGAATGTTAACATACTTGCTTCAAAATGAAGAGTTAATTGTAATGTTTAAATTAATCTATTGCTTTATGGCACCATTTACACCTTAGGAAAAGAAAGGCTGCCACTGAATGTTATAGGAGATGCACTATAAACAAATGTATGATGCAAAAGTCACCAAATAAGAAACTTTTGTTTGTTTGACATTTTTTTGAAAGAAAAATCTTGACATTATTCTAAACACGAATGCTGATTGTTGTGATTATAACACACACATATTCTCTCAATCACATCTAATCCTGGATAACTGACTTTGAGACTCACTTATGATCTCATTCATTTTTATTTAATCCAGGCCTAGATTCTATCCGTTCTATCAAGGGACGCTCAGCTGTTTGTGCTAACACGGACAAGTCATTTGAATTTCCCAAATTCTTGGCAACAGATTGAATGGGTTAAACTCTCCAGACCGTTTGTTAAATGTTAACATATGACTCGAGAGGCAAGAAAAACATTCCCTCTCACAACAGAGACTCGAAGGAATGGAACCCTATCACCCCTGATAGTTTTCAACATTAACATTGTCAGCTTAAATAATTCAACTTTAAAAGCATTTATGATTATAGTTTCAACTTTGTCATTGGACGTGCTGTTTAAGAGTATTTGCATGTGCGGGAGACTTCAAACACACCTCATCTATGCTGTGAAGGTGGAATGGTGATGCTGGGGAGGAAACCAGCTGCATGTGCGCCAAATTGAGTGCACATGTTGTGATGGTTCCTGTCTAACAACCTTACAGTGACTGACAAGCACTTTAAACATAGTTGGAAAGGCTGAATGTTTCACATTAAAATGATCCCTTCCGTCCCTTCGTATCGCATTCATGAGGTCATGACTAGTTTAAGTTTCAAATCGTCGCAATTTATACTCAAAAGTCACAGGAAAGTATGCATTCAACTTATCTACCAGCAATATGCTTGTATACATGTATGTATATGTCAGGAAGAGACACAGACATAGGCAGCTTCTTTATTCACATCACCAGCCTACGCTTTACCTTCATGTGGGATTGTTATTCATGTTTTTTTACTCATGTGGCTAAGTGTCTTAAATGTGCAACATAACTTTGTCCTTTCAAAATGTATGAATTTTCACTGACATACTTTAACTAAAGAGTGTCCTGTTTTCTAGTTAATCTTTAAGGATCATGGTTTCAGCTATTTGTAGTTCTGTATCCTTTCTTTACATTATTTTTCATGCTTTTTTTCCCATGTCTTTCTGCAGCGTCCGGACCCTCTAACCAGGACAAACAGAGCTCAAGAGCACCGTCTTTTGGCAGAACAGAAAACACCCTGCAGGGATTCTGGGGGATTAAGCTGCATCAACTTCATGTAATCTCTCCTTTTATTGAAGGAGCTCAGACATTTTGCTGTGCGTCTTTTTTCTTTGTACTTGGACAAATTCATCACAGCTCTGCCAAAAGCATGTCAACAAAAAGGACTTTATAGCCACTGACTGCAGTCAGAATAGAAGAAAAGCAACATAAATCATGGAGGCTTTAAGTTCTGCTCACGCAGGGACTCCCCCCTCTACACCCATCTTCCCCACCGCCCCTACTGCCTCCTCTCCCAGCTACCTGCAGTTCTTCTGGGAGTACCAGGACAACTCAGTCCTTGTGCAGCATTACAACTACACCGGCAAGCTGCAGAAAGACCGCTACCGCGAAGGACTCAAACCTGAGGGCATTGCGTTCCTGGTGGTGTGTCTCCTCATCGTCCTGGAGAACGCCGTGGTTCTCATCGCCATTTGGAGGAACAAGAAGTTCCACCTGCCCATGTATTACCTGCTGGGCAACCTGACTCTATCTGATCTGCTGGCCGGGGTTACGTATATGGCCAACATCATCATGTCCGGATCCAATACTTTGAAACTGACGCCGTTGCTATGGTTCCTCAGGGAGGGAGGGGTCTTCATCACTCTGGCTGCCTCCATCATTAGTCTGCTGGCCATTGCAATTGAACGCCATGTTACCATGGTGACCATGAGGCCATACCACGGGGCGAAGCGGGGACGGATGTTGGCCCTGATTGGTGCAAGTTGGGCCCTGGCAGTGTTTTTGGGGGTCCTCCCGATTTTGGGGTGGAACTGCATCCGCAGACTGGACCAGTGTTCAACAGTCCTCCCGCTTTATGCCAAGAGCTACATCCTCTGCTGCGTGTCTGTGTTCATCGCAGTGCTCCTGGCCATCGTGGTCCTCTACGCCAGAGTTTTTCGCATCGTCCGCACCAACACGCAGCGCCAGCGGCTGGGCCTATCGGGCAGCATGAGGAAGGGCTTGGCGAGGAAGTCGGAGAAGTACATCGCCCTCCTCAAGACAGTCACCATCGTGCTAGGCGTCTTCATCGCCTGTTGGCTGCCCCTCTTCGTCCTCCTCCTCCTGGATTTTTTCTGCCCCACCCGCAGTTGTCGCCTGCTCTACAAGGCCGATTACTTCCTGGGAGTAGCTATGGTCAACTCGCTCCTCAACCCAATCATCTATACTCTGACCAGTAAGGACATGAGGAGAGCCATTCTGAGGCTGCTCTGTCGGCCGTGTCTGATGACCCGAGATGGCCATGTGAAGAAGATTGGGATGCCATTCCTGGAGTGCAGTTTTAGTAAATCTGAGGTGACATCCCAGAAGTTAGAGGGGGGAATGGAGACGACCATTTCCTCTGGGAATGTTATCACCACCCCATCTCCTAAGGCCCTTTACCCCAAACTCTTCAAGTCATAAAGACTGAGACTAACTGATTGAGTCCAAGTGTGTGAACGGGTTTCCCCCCTGAACAGACAACATGTAGCACATCTTCTATAGAGAGGAAGCAGCACTGGTATTGTAATTTTGGAGCATTGCCAGAAACAGAGGATGTATGAAATATTATGGAGGCACAAGAGAATCTTGTTTGGACAGATTGCTCACCTCAGAAGTGATGCAGAACTTAATTGTGAGCTGATTACAAAACAAAATGCCATAAGGATGCCACTCAAATGTGAACAAACAAACACGCTTTTCTTTTTACAAGTATGCTAGGGATAAGTCTCCTGAACTAATTTGCACTGAAATATCACAATGAATAGAGAAGCAGCCTCAGATTCAATTTTCCCGTGGTTCTACAGTTTGTGTCGAAGCCTGGAAGGAGACGTCTGTAAACCCAAATGACTCTTATGACTGAAAAAAAATGTAATTGCAACATTTTCTGGGTTAATGGCCTATTTGAATTGCCTTAAATGCAGCACAAACACATATCATGTGTGTATTATGTGCATCTGCAGACACCTGGATTTCGCTGGTTCGAAGGCCCACAGTTTGTCAGATTTGTTAAGATAAAATTGTGCGAGGCACCCCTACACATACAGTATGTGATGCGGGGAGACCGAGAGATAACAAGAAAGAAAGAGAGAGACGGCGCTCACTCCTACAGCTCAGTGAAGAATGCTGTGGCGTAGTTGTGGGAGGGGGACACAACATTAAAATCCCTCCCACTGTTTTGAAATGACAGACGGTTAACCTATCTGATGCTGAGTGGAAATTCATTGAGGTTTGGTGTCCGATGTCTTTAAATGTCAGTTTGGCATCTGCAGGAAAACTGCAACAGCAATCTAAACAACCAAATGTCATCATATAATGTAACGGAGGCTTTCTTTCCATAATGAAACTATCATGCTGATAGTTTAACTGAAACCAGATGAGCTGCAATTGCATCACTTGTAAGTATAAGCCTAAAAAAGGATTGCTTTAATAAATATTTTAACTCGCAAACAAAGCAGTGGATGTAATTAATCCTCATGCAGCTGCAGGACTTTTAAGGGTAAATATTGTGCCTAAATCATACAGAACCAGTGCAATTATTCCAATACTTCCCTTCACTATCCATCTTGTTAACAGAATGTTTCCGGTTATAGTTTAAGGTACGGATTTTTCATTATTATTATTATAAATTAGTTTGACGTCGTTATTTTTACACAGATGTTTTTTTTATTGCAGTCTTTCCGGACCATAATGGATGAATGAGGCAGTGTGTTTTCTTTTTTGTACTGTAACTCATGTAGTGAACCTTTTGTATTTCTGAAGACTTTTCATATCATCTGTTTTGTAAATTAGATGTATTTTGTAACAAGAAAAACTTCACCTTTCTTTTCATAAAAGAAATAAAATGTTTTCTTAAAGAATTCCGAAGAGGTTTCGGTTTGTTATTACACTGTGTGCGCATACAAGCGTGTCTGTGTGCGTTTCGTTGTGTGTAGGTTGTCTGAATGGAAGAACAGTTCTTGAAGAAGCACCAGAGGAAGGCGGGCCCCCTTGTCTCACATCTGGTATTGGTATTGGCCTATATACAGCCTGCGTGTCTCGGGACGGCATGAGCACCACACAACGCGCCTTTTTATTTTTTACACAGAGATCTCAATTTTTCTTCTTCCCTTTTCTGTCAGCCTGTAGGTGAGACTATAACCAACATCTCACTCGGACCTGCTTTCCAATCTTGTCCTTGCTGAAACAAAGAAAGATCATATGCAGCTGGCTTTAATGTTGCTGTACAGACAGGAGAAACTCAACAGGCTGCCAATTCAACTTAAGTTTGTGTATTAGCAAAGGGCTGACAAAGACAGCTATAGGGCGTAGATCAAGAGATGTATTGTGTGGCTTTTACTTGGCTTTTCCCCCCGATCATGCATTTAAGAAACACTGCCTTCTAGTTGGGTTATTGTGAATGCCACAATGTCTAAGATTGACAAATGTGAAATCAAGTCTTGATTTTGTTTTTCTGCATCCTCAAGTGTTGCCACTGCCTGCCGGACCGCTTTAAAATCAAAACCATTATTAATATTTCATATCCCTCTGACCGTAAACACAAGTGTGGTGTGACTCTGCAAACAGCATATGTGCAATATTCTATTTCGGGACATAGGCTGACTTTTCACACCTCTAACAGGAAAGTTAGTATGCGCAAAGCAACTCTAAGACATTCAACTTCATGCAAAGCAAAGTCTAGTGTAAGTCTTCCTGACAAACTAGTTGTTTCACTTTTAAGTGAAACAACTAGTCTCAAATATCTCAAATAAAAAGTACAACATGGCTCTGGGACACCTTTGATTTGTAGGTGCAGGTGTTCCTCCAGATGTTGCCTGTATCCACACAGCACAGTGCCTGCTGACAGAGGTCAACATGTCAGGGAATCTTTGCCGTCCCCCCAGCTTCCTTCCTGCTGCGGAAATCATACAACAAACTGAACAGATAGAAGTCACGAGTCATCTGCTGTGACAGTCCCAACCGCAGACTTGATAAATAGAAAACATGTACATGAAAGTAACTCACAAAACTGATCCTGTGAGTGCAGCTTTACCCTCAGCTGCAGAGCAGACAGACAGTGGGAGTCTAGTCTAGGAGTGTCCATTTGGAGCCCCAAGGCTAACCTCGCTTAATTCCTCTGACTGGAACACACAGACTGAGGGCAGCATCATTGCTCTGCTGGGGAATTGCTGGTGAAGGCTGATTCAAGTGCTTGTCATATCATATCAAGGGTTTTTCTTGACTTTTAATGCTTCATCATCAATTTCACTAACCCTGAGGGAGCAAAGATGTATCTGCCCTGTTTATTTGGTTTAATCAGCTGTGGAATCTGGGTCCCAACAAAGCTTCAACATTTTTGTACAATATAATTACTGGCAGCTCACTCCCGCATGATTGCAACACATTTGTGATCATATAATGATGTATTTTGAACGAGTAACTTGATGTGGGTCTTTTTGCGCCTGCACTGTCATAGTTGGCTTTTGACGCCACCTTGTGGCTGTTTTCCAGAATAGAGTGACCTGAATTACGTATGTCGCAAGAGGGGGACATTTAATAGTGTCAGCAACTGCGTGGAGCATATTTCTGTCATCTGCGTTGTTCTGTAGCAGCCACTCACAAAGATGGATATTTCTAGAAGGAAGGGAACGTGTCAAGCAACATGAACCAACCACACATAGACCTGCAGAGAGGGAGCAATTTGGGGTGATAGGTAATTAGGGGTCACTAGTCATGTCTCTTGATCACCCTTATGTTTTTATTTTACGCCACTAAGCAATTGCAATTAGCAATTTCCTGTTTTATTTTCAAATTTCATTATGAAGTAATAATAAATTAGCTTTAGGTATTGTACTTGTTGTACTTTAGTAGTTCACTCTTATTCGCAATATCCGTTTCAACTTGTCACAAAGTGTAGTGGACACATGTGACCAGTGTAATATGCAGGTCATGTTTGTATTATTTGTATCAGATTTGATTGACGCTGAAGCTACAGTGTTTTGTTTTTTTTGGCTTCGTTTTTCTTTTTTTCTGAGGGTTCCTTCTCAATAAAAGCCCCCTCCTTCGGGACGTACTTCAGTTCCACTACTCGTCAACAGAGGCGGGTCCAGCGCGGTGGAGGCGGGCTCTTATTGTGAAAGCGAGAGGAGGCCGGTACAATGCTTAGTCACGGTGAGTTACAGCTTTCCCCCCCACCTCTTCCTATGTGACGCACAGCTCGGCAGACCGCGATGGAGGAATTGAACTAGACAACGTGAGTTTCTTTAATTACAATTTTAAGCTACGAGTATTGATTCACGGGAACTGTAATGAGGGCAGATGTGAAAGCTTGTCGTTGCATCATGTGTCGGCAGCGCTTTGTTAGCATTTCTGTGCTCCCGGGCTCTCAGTCGTTACGTTGCTGCCTATTATTAGGAGCCGATTTCGCTGTCAGCTCTGTTTCCGAAACGTTTAACTTGTTATCGGTGGCGTCTCGAGCTGTTTGTCATGAATGGGGTACATCGACTTCACTTTTCGTCGCAAAACAAACAGAGAATTTAACGCTAATCGACTCTTCTTCACGTGTTTTACCCCCGAATTTCGCTCCATGCCAGTGCTCCGGAGTATTTGATCAAAACAGGCACATAAATGATCAACGTTGGACCCGCAGGGGAAACGGGGCTTTGTGTCAAAGCTGTTAATGTTGAAGTAATGGCGCGCACATCTAATTCCATCTGGGTTTATGTAAGGACTGGCTGCTCTTCTGGGTCATGTTTTGGTACAGCCAGTTCCACTGTTTGCTCGGTGAAGAGTTCACGATGAGTCACCGAGGCAGAGCTCTGAGAAACACGGTACACACTCGTGTTCGTGTGTAACTCTTACCAGCTTGCATGTGGGCTAACTTTAAAGTTTAAACCACTCCAGTTCTGAAGTCCCTGCTAAATGGAGAACTGCAGGCCTGGACCGTGGTTCTCAAACTGGGGTGCAGGGTCTACCAGGGGTCCTTGAGGGGTGCAGAGAGTCCCCTAAGTACTGAGAGATTGATCAGTCTGTTCCTGCCTACTGTTGATTGGTTTAATTGACCTTAATCTGAGTGTATGAGGATGTATGTTTGGATCACAGGTTTCACCTTACCCACAAAATACATTTGTGTACCAAGTTAGAGGTGTAACTCGATTAGCCGTTTTTGTAAAGCTGAAACTTTGACAATTTGACAATCAATTAGTTTATTGACAAAAAAAAGAAACAAAACACTGTTAAGTAAAGTATTTTCTCATTTCTGTCCAGCTTCTGAATTGTGATCATGTGCTGCTTGTCTTTTATATCATTATATAACACGGAATAACTGAACTGTGATTGGACATTTTTTTGATTGATAGAAGAAATAATATGCAGATTATGAATATCATAATATTTGTAGCTGGTTGGTCTTTTTTTAAATGTCAGAATTCACGAATCTGCAGAGCCCACGGTGATGCTTCCAGAAAGCTTATTTTAGCCCCAAAACTAACGGCAAAATCCTGAAGAAAGTACGTTTACGATCACGGTAATGATGGCGGACAAAATCATCAAATCTCCACATTTGAGAAGCTAAAAAAAGCAACTCTAGGATATGTTTGTTTGGAAAATGGTTTAAATAATGAACTGATTTATCACAATAGACACATTTTCTGCCAGTCAATAGATCCACTAGTTGTTTCAGCTCCAATAGAGTTGTATTTAACATCAAATCTCTTGGGAACTCCTGCTTCTAAAGAGAATCAGACTTTAGTGTGATACCTGAGAAGTCTACTGTCCTACATTATAATTGCATGACATATCTGAGATCTGCAGCAGGTACAAAGGTAGACTCGGTAAAGAGTTTCTGTCTGTTGAGCAACATGTTCTCCTGTGAAACTATTTCACCCTGAAGGGAGAATCTCAGTGTGTTTCATATTACTGCTGGCTGATTGACTTCATAACGGTTACTGACGTGTGGCCATCTGGATGCACCCATCTGACTTTTCCAGTCTCGATACCAACAATGAGACCAGGACTTTGGGTATCGGCCGATAACGAGTGCCGGATCAATGAGCTCAGCTGTAGGCGTGGAAGAGCCCGGGATACACCAGCAGAATTACAATTCAAGTGTAAACCTTTTTTAATGCATCTATATTTCAGTATATAATGTACATGGTATAATAATTAGTTTGTTTGTGTGTGTTATAACTCTGAACACTCCAGCTGGACAATTAGCAACTGCTGGCTGCTCTTTGCACTGTATGTCACAGCGACACAGGCAGTTCGGTTATTCTGGAAAAAAGAAGTTGGATTGACAGAAAAGAGGTATTGTTGTGGCAGCATCCCTCGAGGCCATTTTAATGGTGTGCAACAGAGCAAGTGTGTCTCTCTCCATGGACCCGGGGCCTCCATATCCCTGAAAGAAGTATTCATTTCTAAACGATACAGCTATTTCCTGTTTTATCATCCGCTGCAGTGGATTGGATAGAAGGTTCAATTCAAACCTCTTTAATTCTGATTGAAAGATGGTGATTGCATGCGTCTGTTGCTGCATCGGTCAGACTGTGCTTTGGTGTGGTGTTGCCTCTGCTCCGACCTCCAGCTGGATTTGTCACAGCACAGAGCGAAAGCACTCAGTCATGCTGACCAGCTCAATTCAAGCCTAATCTAAGCCACTCCATCGCCCTTCCAAACAGACATACCTCCCTCACCATTCCACACACGCCTGCGCAAACCTGTTTTTTGGAAGACTCTTCAGTAGTGCAACGCTTTTAAAGTCAGTCTTAAGTTCAGATGTGGAAGTAAGTTGCGATTGAATCTTCTTCTCACAAACGCGTATAATCAAAGATGAAAGGAAGTGCTATGATGAGTAAAAGTAGCTCACTCATCATATAAAGGAGGAAACCTTGACCCCCCCCCCCCAGTGATCTGCTCCAGGAAGGTGTGTGTGTGTGTGTGTGTGTGTGTGTGTGAGAGAAAGGCACGAGGATAGTCTCTTTGACCAGATAAACTTTAGCTGTGTAAGTTGATGGAGGCCGACTGGTGCTGAGCCCCTTGTTACATGGGACAATGTACTTGTCAGCATTCAGCAGATGTGTACACAGATATGAACAGTGGCAGGATTTTATTAACTGTGCATTTTTATGAAAGTATGTGACTGTGCCACTGCATGAACATACACGCTCACTCACTCTCGCTCTCTTTCCTTCCAGTTGGCAGCTGAGCCAAAAGCTTCCAAGTAAACACAGCGCTGCAAAACAAATTCCATAGCTGGGCAACCTCGAGGAAGGCGTCTCCGGAGAAAGCCAACACCCCCCCCCCCCCCCCCCCCACCCCCCCCCCCCCCCCCCCCCCCTCATTTCCAAGAGCTCCCAAGTTACGCTTACGACACTTTTGGCACTTGGCCCTGTTTTTCTACTGTCACATGTGCGGTGTATCTGACTCTGCAGCCCTCAGCACAAGTGTAGCCCTCTGTTGATATTCTATTTTTTTTTTTTTTTTTTGAGGGGGGGCATTTTACACAGTCTCGAGCCATTTTTGATTATGTTGGACCTGCAACATGTGAAAGTACAGCCAGCCGTGACGGGCAGCTCGCACAGAAGTCTCTAGTGATGCCATAATGAGCACTGTGGCTGGCCTCGGGTATTGAACAGAGCGAGGAAATCCTCATGTCCACATTAATCAGAACGTGAACTCTTCCACACAAACGAATACCAGGAGAGCCCGGAGCTTTCTGTTCAGCTGTCTGCCAAGTGTCGGGTTTTGAATTCTTTTTATTTCGCCCACGCCTGTGCAAGGATGCCCCGTAACGCTGCCCGCAGTTCTTGAGAAAGAGACCCGGGAGGAGGAGACGACAGGGTAGGAAATGACAGAATGCCTGACAGAATACAAAGCGCTGGTGACTCCGTCCACGCGCAACGGCCACCGCGTCTTCAGCTACACGCTAGAGAGCCACACGGCGGCCGCCTTCGCCATCATGAACGAGCTGCGTCTGGAGCGTCAGCTGTGCGACGTGACGCTGCGCGTGCGCTACAAAGACCTGGAGGCGGTGGACTTCGTGGCTCACAAGGTGGTGTTGGCCTCCTCGTCCCCGGTCTTCAGGGCCATGTTCACCAACGGGCTGAAGGAGTGCGGCATGGAGCTGGTGCCCATCGAGGGGATCCACCCCAGGGTGAGTCAGATGTCGACTCTTCTTGATGGACATCTTTGTTTTATTTGATTTGACACACAATCTCACTCGCAGATCATTAAATGTGATTCAGGGTTAAAGGCATGAGCTGTGACATTTTACTACCAATAAATTACATTACATTTGTTTTGAGACATTAGAAGTATGATCTTAGAGACAGCCAATTTCATATGACAAAAGGCTGTATTGGCACAAATTGGAAAAATTAATAGCCAGGTCCAGATATAAATAGCACCAGAGCCTTATTTCTTCCCTCCTTCAACTCTCTCCCTCTTCTCCACCTCCACCTGTCCCCTCCTCTTTCCGTCTCCCTCATTCAGGTCATGGACCGACTGATAGAGTTTGCCTACACAGCCAGCATCTCGGTGGGGGAGAAGTGTGTGATCCACGTGATGAACGGCGCCGTCATGTACCAGATAGACAGCGTGGTCAAGGCCTGCTGCGACTTCCTCGTCCAGCAGCTGGACCCCAGCAACGCCATCGGCATCGCCAACTTTGCTGAGCAGATCGCCTGCATGGAGCTCCACCAGAAGGCCCGCGAATACATCTACATGAACTTCAGCCAGGTAAAGCGTCGGCAGAGCTTTCGAGATTTGGGAGGAGGAGGAGGAGGGAGGGAGGGAGGAGGGAGGAGGAGGAGGAGGAGGGAGGAGGAGGAGGACTCAAGAATGCAAACTATGATTCATGATGAGTATGTGGATTGACCTGTGCAGCACACAAACGATGAAGGGACATTCAATATTGATCTCTGATAAGAAGGTAGAGGCAGGTCACTGAGTCACAGATGTGTCAAGTAACACCCATCAGTGGTTCAGTCTTTCACAAATGTGCTTTTCTTTACAAAAAGAAAAAATCATGAAGTGAATAAATTGAGGTATTCAAGGGATTTGTCTAAATACACTTTCTCCATATGAAAGATACACACAGTTTATTTAGGTAAAAAGAGGAAGTTACCACATCTGGTTATGTGATGGTGACAGATAATCTGCCGTTTCTATTGCATATTCAGTTGTCCTCAAAAATATACTAGAAAGTAATCAAGGACACACACCTAGATAAATCGTCCCGGAGAAGTTTACCTATTTAAAATACTAAAGTCAAACATTTGTAGCTTACATATTTAGGTAGTGTAACTGTCGACAAAATACATGTGCATTTCCCTTTGTCTGTGTAAACACAATTGTGTCTTCAATATTTTTTTTCTTTAGATTCGTAGAGTGCGACATACAGTACTATACACACAGTTTGATCGCATGCACGACTCTATGAATTTAAAATATACTGCGACGCTCATGGCAGGATGCCGGATTTCTCGAGTGTTCAGTCCGTACGCTAGTCTAAATGCGCCTTATCTTGTTACTGTCTCCTAAATAATCTTGACATTTGACCAAAGTGTTACACAAACGAAACCTGGTTTTGTTTAAACCATCTCCGGTCACTGTTTACTGACCATTTCAAGCAAAACTGTCCAAAATGTGTTGGTTCCAGCTTCTCACTTGTGAGCGTTTTCTTGATTTCATCTGACATTAGAGGCACAATGTGTAGCATTTTGGGGGATCTATAAGCAGAAATGGTATATAGTATTATAGTTTTAGCCCAGAACAGACAAATCAACTGCTGGCAAGAGCCTTTGGCGTGTTTACGTTACCCAAAGTCCCACGTCGTTTTCAAACACCTGTGGTAACGCCACCCACTGTGTGGCTGCTGTTGCTCCTAGCGTAGTGTTATTATGGTAAAGATGGCCTTGATCAGAGCTCTTGTCTTATTAAAAGCTTTCATCTCTCCCCCTGTCCCTAGGTGGCGACCCAGGAGGAGTTCTTCAACCTGTCCCACTGCCAGCTGGTCACCCTCATCAGCCGAGACGAGCTCAATGTGCGCTGCGAGTCCGAAGTCTTCCAGGCATGCGTGGCCTGGGTGCGCTACGACCGGGAGAACCGGCGGCCGTACGTCCAGGCGCTACTCCAGGCTGTCCGCTGCCACTCCCTCACCCCCAACTTCCTGCAGACCCAGCTCCAGTCTCTGGACTGGGACCCCCAGTGTAAAGACTACCTGGCCCAGATCTTCCAGGACCTCACCCTCCACAAGCCCACCAAAGGCATTTCTTGGCGAACACCCAAGGTGCCGCAGCTCATCTACACAGCAGGGGGTTATTTCCGTCAGTCTCTCAGCTACCTGGAGGCCTATAATCCCTGCACAGGAGCCTGGCTGAGGCTGGCCGACTTGCAGGTGCCCCGCAGTGGCCTAGCAGCCTCTGTGATCAGCGGGCTTTTCTACGCTGTGGGTGGAAGGAACAACGCGCCCGACGGCAACATGGACTCGAATGCATTGGACTGCTACAATCCTATGAACAACTGCTGGCTGCCGTGTGCACCCATGAGCGTACCGAGGAACCGAATCGGAGTTGGTGTCATTGATGGCATGATATATGCAGTCGGTGGATCACATGGGTGCATTCATCACAATAGTGTTGAAAGGTAAGCGAATTCAGCTTCATAATGCTGTCGTTTTAGTGCTTTATATTTTTTATATGCATTCGCTTTGGTCTCCCTCTGCTCACACGTATAGTCGGTGAAGCCACATCCTGATTTGTTTTGTTGATGATGATACAGAATATATAATACCAACTGTATCCTTTAAACAAGCAACAGGTAAAACTACTTCCAGTGTGCTGCAGGTGTAGCTTTGATTTGTGCTGCAGGCTGTTTTAAAAAGCCCAATGAAGTGAGATCATTTAGTGTCGAGCTGTCTGTGGTTTGGCTCGGTGTATACATTCAGTGATGAATAAGAACCGAGATGTGTGGCTGAAGCCCAGCTGATGACATTTATAATAGAGGAGTATGCTCTGGTCTGTTTATTGTAGCTAGTTTATGAGCGCCCAAGAGCAGGAACGGCTAACTTCCTGGAACTTTAAAGCTTTTGTTCCACTTCCTGAAATATGTTTTTATATCAGTCAAAGCTCCAATGAGGAAGCTTTAATCAATACTTTTTTTTTTTGTGTTCTATAACTAAACGGTAAATGACATGATGGCTGAAAATAGAATAGCAAACTTTCTCTCCCGCGGCCTGTGTGTTCCAACTCTTTATCGGTCATATGCAGCAGCGCTCTTACTCGCTATATTTAGAAGGAACACTTCGAGTTAACTACCTTCCCACGGTTTATTATTCCCGACTGGAAAATGGCCTTTTTGTTTGCTCAGCTTCTTCTCGACAGCTGGTCTGGACAGTGAGCCAGCAACAGCATGAATTGTGACGAGCCATAAAAGGCTGGAGGATGATTAGCACGAAGTCCATCAACATGTCCCACCAACAAGTGTTACATTTATTTGTCCTGCCGTGTAGGAACGACTCGAACCGAGACAGGGACCTGTGGCGCAATACTTAATATTTTACTGTGTGTGTGTGTGTGTGTGTGTATGAGAGAGAGCTCTCTCCACAGTTAAAGATTTACTCTGACGCAGACAAATGGCAAATATTAACCAGGAACACCACAACGACTGTGAAAACTTAGCATGCCTAACCTGTCTGAATGCCCATGTAATGACTCAGCAAAAATATGCGACTTATTATTAGTGACTCACAGACTACAGATGCTGAAAATGGATCTGTGCGACAAAGGCCCTGTTCAGACGTTAACATGCGTCTTGGGTGATCCGATCACTGCGAGTACGTCGGTTCACACCTGGCATTAGAATGCGTCTTCCCGTGCGTTTCGAGTGACCACTTGTGTTCAAATCTCGGTTCCCTTGACATACATTTGCTTGATAAACGCTTAAGTGATCGTTGGATCTTCAAGCGCTTAAAAAAATGTGTATGAAATTTAACCAGATTATGCAAACTGCGAATATTCTATTTTGTCTCTTGCAGGAAAAAAAAGTACATGCAATGCTTTAAAGACAAATAAAATAATCTTAAAATCAATTCGGTGCAGAGAGGCCAGTACGTGGGAGATAGGGCCTCTCTTCCTGCTACCAGGGAGGAGCTGTAGACCAGCTACAGGCGAGATAAGGCTGACGGATTCCTACATAGTGAGCATTGCAGTAGTTGACGTAAGGGGGAGTTTATCAATGGCAAACATCACGTTTCTGCCTGGAGCCCTCACCGGGCCGACGGTGACACAGATAAGCAGTGTTTAGGGAATTTGGTTTTCCAAATGGGTAAATAAAAAATAAAAAAGATAAAACGAATTTAATATGCGTTGTTCTTCGTTCAGGTACGATCCAGAAAGGGACGAGTGGCATCTGGTAGCCCCAATGTTGACACGGCGGATCGGAGTGGGTGTGGCTGTCATCACCCGGCTGCTCTATGCCGTGGGGGGTTTCGACGGGTCCAACCGGCTCAGCTCCTGTGAGTGCTACAACCCTGAGAGGGACGAGTGGATGACCATGGCCCCCATGAACACTGTGCGCTCCGGAGCTGGTAAGCAAGAACTAGAAAGCTGCTTTCTGATGGAAGAAAGTGTATAAATATATACTTTAATATATATGCAAGCTTTTTCGTTTGTGCTATTGAGATTTAAACAAGATGGGGAGGAAGCGGTGCAGAGATTCACTTCTTTAACCCTTCTCCTAATTCATAAACTCACCAGGAGGGAACTCTGGCGGATGCTTGCTGCATGTTCTCCGGTTTCCCCATATCTAGATAAAGTAATGGAACACTTAAGCTTGCCATTGACCCTTTTCAGGTGTGTGCTCTCTGGGGAATCGCATCTTTGTGATGGGCGGCTACGATGGCACCAACCAGCTGAACACAGTGGAGCGCTACGATGTGGAAACGGATACGTGGAGCTTTTCTGCCTCCATGAGGCACCGACGCAGTGCTCTGGGAGTCACTGCGTTACATGGACGCATCTATGTAATGGGTGAGTAGTAGTGTAACTATTGAGAATCAAAGCACTGAACTAAATGCATGTATAAAATACATGTTTGCTGTCAAAACAACTTTAGACATTGAGGTAGTGGCCAACTAACTTCATACATCTCTTCCTAATATTAATGAGGATATTGTTATTTAAGCATATTTAGTTTTTTCAGTTTCATTTTGTGGCGATAAAAATAAGATTTGCTTGATGATTAAGAACTGAGGTTTGTAAAGCCTTTAGGTTCACTGTGAGTCCGACAGTGTTACGGGACTACTCGAGTCACTTCACTACAAAACTATAATCACCAATTGTCAATGTTCTATTTACAGGAGGCTACGATGGAGACACGTTCCTGGACAGTGTGGAGTGTTACGACCCTGAGACGGACACCTGGTCGGAGGTGACTCACATGACGTCTGGGCGGAGCGGCGTTGGTGTGGCCGTTACCATGGAGCCGTGCCAGAAAGAGCTGCCACAGTGTCAGAAGTCTGAGAGGGAGAGCGGCACCCCATCACCCGCCCATCAGTCGGCCAACTCCGGTTTCAGCACTTACAACAATCAGCGGCAGGGCGGGCACTTCGGCAAAAGCCTATGAAGCTCTTAGCTCCCTGGCACTCACTCACAGGCAGACAAGCACCCCCAAAACTCCACTCTGTCTTCCCAAATCTAAAGAAAGACCCTCGCAAAACAAATTAGAGACTTATGTGAAACACCACATGCTGCCTCACTGGTTCTGGACAAGCAAAACATTTTTAAAAAACAAAAAAATCCTACGGTCCACTTTTCTAGACTGGTAAGTTGATTAATTTATTTGGGAAATCTGAGAGACCTCAGTCCGTCTGTGCTTTCAGATCTTTTGAAGTCTTCAGTCGGACCATCATCTCCCAGGTCTGAGCCCCGGGAGGAAAGGGCTGCACACTTAAAAAGGGCCGTTTACTGGCTCAGAGAGTCACCAGGAGCTCTTTACGCCTCAAGCAAAGGTTAAATAATTCAAATGTACCCCATTATATATAAAAGAGACAAAAAGTAGCGTTTGTCAGCATAGGCAGTAGAGTTCAAAGTGCCATTACAATGCCTGTGGGTATTACTGTCATCGGTATATTAACTTGAGGTGCTTTGATGGAGAATCGGTGCGTTTGATTTGCTAAAGCTAACCCAGACGGCCACAAGAGGAAGCTTATACACGAGAATGGGCCTCACGCAGGACCATTTCCTGTATCCTCGCCCTAAACCTTTGCTGTGACCTTTGCTTGAATGTATCCCAAGTCAGATTCAGCAAAATCTCTGAACCTCATGAACTTAACCTTGTTAATTTCAGTCCGATGAATGCCATCTGTTCATGAGTAGGTATGTGTTTAAGGACGATAATAATACAGAGCAACTGAAGGCTCTAAACCCCCCCCCCCCCACCATGACTTAACTTCAGAATTAACACAGAATTAAGGAATGGTTTGATATGGATTTTGATTTCAAAGACAAAGTAGATCATGACTTAAATGAGGACCTGCGGTCAGGGAGCGTGCCACTCAGGGAGATAGGATGTGTATATATATATATATGTATATGTGTATATATATATATATATATGTATGTATATATATATGTATGTATGTATGTATGTATGTGTGTATGTGTGTATATATGTGTATATGTATATATATATGTATGTATATGTATATGTATATATGTGTATATGTATGTATATGTGTATATATGTATATGTGTATATATATATGTATATGTGTATATATATATATATGTGTGTATATATATATATGTGTGTATATATATATATGTGTATATATATATATATGTGTATATATGTGTATATATGTGTATATATATGTGTGTATATATATGTGTGTATATATATGTGTGTATATATATATATGTGTGTATATATATATATGTGTGTATATATATATATGTGTGTGTATATATATATATATGTGTGTGTATATATATATATATGTGTGTATATGTATGTATGTGTATATATATGTGTATATATATATATATGAGAGAGAGAGACGGACGGTGATGTTAAATTGGAAAAAGTGTCGTTACAAAATATGGCAGTAAAAATCTTGAAAGAAAATCTCATGATGCAAATCACACTAATCTGGTTAATTCGGCAATACATTTAATCTCCAAATTCATTCAGATTAAGTCATTATAATTCTTCAAATGTTTTTTTTTCTGCCGAGCAAGGCGGCGTATCTGTACGACAGTCCTGTACCACCTCTGAATTTATACCACAGAAAATTGACGATTGCCACAAATTCTCTTAAATCACCCGTACGTCAATTTACGATTTGAATCTGTTCACACAAGGTGCTTCTCGCACAAGGCCCGAAGTTTCAAATTCAAGTGCTTGTAGAAGAGAAGCAGGACCTTAAAATAACTGCATTGTAACAAATATGTCCTTCCACTAATATCCACTGGTAGATTCATAAGATGTGATCTTTTTTCGTTGGAAGAGGTGTTGGCAAGTGACTGAGTGTTGCTTCCTGTGAGGGTGTCGGAGAGTCTGGTCCAGTATAATTGTGTGTATGAAGTGCCAAGAGAACGAAGAGACGGGCTTTGACTGTGTTTAGAGGAAACGGAATACTGTAGTATTTATAAGCTTTTAAAAAAAAAAAATTAAAAAAAGTGTTTTTAGAGAAACAATCATAACTGACACAATTGAGATGCTCACCCTACAGTTGACTTTTTGGCCTCCACTTCCACCAGACCTCAGAAGAGAAGTGACCATGTTGGTGCATTGCAATGTCGTGTTCAGACATTGTACGCTAATAACAAAGACTTGCTTAAAGAAGTGTATTTGTTACAGCAATTTAAGCTAAACAGGTTTTTCAGTGATGTTTTGTACATTGATATTCTTGTACAGAAATCTCAGATCTCGCTTTTTTTTTTTTTTTTTTTTTTTTTTTTAATTTATTTGTTCAGGATCCTTTTGGTTTCCTCGTTCCTCTAAACTGACATCAGCTTTGTACTGAATTGGACTCTGGTGTTGTGTTTTTCAATAACTAGCATGCCTTGTACCCAAGTAGAAATGCCTGTTGATGGTCATTTTGGATGTTTGTAAAAAATGCTTCACTTCTAAAGGGACTTTTTTTTTCCTGTCCGTCAGTAGTTGGAATGGAAATTAGAATATTTAAGGTCTGCTTTGTACATTTTTTTTTCCAGCAAAAATACCCTGTACAATAATACATTGTAAAGTAAAATATGTTTGTTGTACTGCTTTAGTCACGTATTTATTTGTTAGTTCTGAGCTTTAGACATTTTTAGACTTGTCTGGTCTTAACCCCATGTTGATGATTAAATGACACCACCTCATGTGGTTTGTCAAGATGCAAAGCAGCAGTGGCCACCAGAGGGCACTACAGCCCTTTGATACTGAACTATCATATATATTATCATCTTATTCAACACGAACAAGTCAGCGTTACCAAGTTAGCACTCTTTATAGATGCAAATAGTCACATTTTTGGGGGTTTTATTTTGTCTTTCATTGAGTCTAAACCTGTGTCAAGGGTGCCGTTGGTCAACCACCCATGTTTGCTGCCAACACATCTCATTTTCTTACCAAACCTGAAAGGTGGATATAGACCAATATTAAATTCGCCAAAGGAAAAACTTTCCTGATTTGTTTACTTAAAAGATGATCAAGACATAACCCTGTCAAACATTGAAAGACAACAGAGGAACGGTATTTAAGGGCAGAGCAGACGCACTGACTCAGGTGTGGCTCATACAGCTGATAACCCTCCAATCAGCACCAGCTGCGGACGACTACATGCACAGCAACAGGGACACGTTGTGTATGGAGGGTCATCACATAGCACGATGAAAAAAATATTATAGCATGTCGAAAGAATTCATGAAAAAGTGATAGTAATGTTTATTGAAAAAAAAATAGCCACAGTATGTTAAGGTAACAAAAGTATAGTATATCAAAAAAGTCCTACTATAGTATGTCGACAAAAAGTAATAAAAGCGTATAGTATGTCAAAAAAAATGACTTATAGTATTTTGAAAAAGTCAGTATAGTTTGTTGAAAAGGGTGATAAAATGACAATGTTAAATGTCGTATGTCGAAAGTGTCATGAAAAAGTCATACTATACTGTGTCCAAAAAAAGTCAATGTATGTCAAAGTCATAGTTTAGTGTTGAAAGAAATCATAACTACATCATATTAGTGTCAAAAAATTCATGAAATTCACAGTATAGTTTGTCAAAAATGTAATTAAAAAATCTAAGTATAGTATGTGAAAAAGTCATAGTAAAATTTGTCAAAATAAAGTCATATAGTATGTCTACAAAAGTCATAGTATAATTTGTCCATCTAAATCATAAAAAAAGTCATCGTATAGTATGACAAAAAAAAAGCATGTGGAAAAAATTCATGAAAAAGTGATTGTATAGTATGTCGAAAGAATTCATTGTATAGTATGTCGAAAAAGTCAGTATAGTTTGTGGAAAAGGGTCATAAAAAGACAACCTATATAGAATGTTAAATAATGTCATAGTATACGGTGTCGAAATAAATTAATAAAAAAGATATAGTATACTATATCAAAAAAAGTTATGGTATAGTACGTAAGTTTTCGTTAAAAAAGTAATAGAATAGTATGTCAAACAGTCATTAAAAAATCATAGTATACCTCATTGGAAAAGTCACAAAAAAAGGCATAGTGAAGTATCTCATATAAAAGTCATAGAACAGTGTGCCGTTCAAAAGTTTATGATTTAGTGTGTGATTTAAAATGCAAAGAATTCGAGTGAAATATAGAGTATTATAAATAAGTCATAATATAGTACTTCATTTAAAAAAAATTATAATATATAGTATAGTATGCCATAAAATGATGTAAAAAAAGTAAAAGCATATCACAAAACATCCCAAATTAAAATCTTTTAGAAAATCATGAAATATGTTTGTCATAAAAGATTTAAAATATATTGCATATTAAACCTATAGTATGCCACAAAATATTATAAAATGTATCATGATAAAGTCAGTCTTAAAATATCATTAAAATATCATTGTATAGTAAGTGGTAGAAATTATCATTAAAATCACAGTAGAGTAAGTCATAGAAAAGTCCTAGTGTAGTATGTCATGAAGATGTCTAAAGAAATCATTGGCTAATAGATGTGAAATTATTCTTTTTCTTTGTTCCATACTTTTCAATGTGTGTAAAAATGTACAATAAAAGTGTACAACAAGTAACAGAGTTAACGTCACAGTGCTGACATTACATCTAGTAATATGAGCTGTGAGAAGAGATTTGGGGAATAAATATACTTTAATGTAGTAGCCTACAGTAGGGCCAAAGTCTTTTTCTTCATTGCTTGTAAAGTTAGCGCTCGAGGGGGTTGGACTTGCTTGTTGAGAATAGGTTTATTTTGAAAATCTTGTCCGGATGTTTTGTGTTACCTGTCAAGTTGACGTCAGTGTGCTCGTCTTTAACGATGAGTATCGGCTCCCGACTCCCACCGGACACTAGTGGATCCTCCTCGGACGCAGGTATGTGAAATTCACCTGGTTAAAGCTGAAAACGACAGTTTTTTTTTTTACTTAACTGTTGCACTGATACTGTCGACTATTTTTAAGAGATGAAAGTTGATGGACGGTTATGAACGTGTAACACTCAAGTTTCTTGTGGTTTTGCAGCTATGACGTCCAGTAGCGTATCTGACATGATGTGATTTCGAAACGACTTTTTAATAATTATAAACTAAACAAAGAAACATCGTTTATAAATACGATTTAAGTCCCACTAAATGTTTGGCATGGTCTGCTGCAATGCTTTGTCTATTTGTTTAGTTGCCAAGTGTCATATTTCTTCAGAAACTAAAAAGGCTAATAAACAAATGTGGATTTAGTGGTATTACTGCAGGGGTTGAGCATGTAGTCTTTACCCTATAACTTTATAATTATCAGGGGAAGAGAAAGTAGGCCTATCGAGAAACAATGACCTCAACCCTTGAACGAAGACCGAGTTCCTTTCTGTTAACGTTGTTGTCAAACTAGTTTATCCACTTTAAATCCGCCCACGATTCATTCAAGGCCAGCGATGCCTATAGCTTGTACCCTCTACAGTCCTGCGTATTCTGTGTTGGTACATCATCAGTCTTTTTGTGTCATATCATTAAAAAAAATTGTTCTCCAGAGACTGCAATGTTTTGAAAGTCAATTTTAGCCTCGGTGTTCACCGTCGCTCTTTTATTTCATCAGTGTGGAGCAGCAGTCAGGATGATCCCAGTGGGGGAATTCAGAAACTTCGGGGCGGAGCAGAACTCAAAGTATCGGGTCCTGAAACCGTGGTGGGATGTTTTCTCAGAGTACCTGTGCGTTGCTATGCTGATGATTGGCGTCTTTGGGTGCACCTTGCAGGTGAGGCACCTACAAAGCAGACACTTTGTGATCATATGCTCATTAATCCTTACATGATTACACCGATTTAGAAACATACTTATTACTTACCTAATCTAAGATTCTGCACGATGAGGGTAAAAAGTTTGCATTATTTGTATCTACTGTGGAATATCACAGGATGTTTTTGTTCCCACACACCCTTCTCTCTGTTTAATTCCTACATTGTCTGACCTCCAAGTCATGCAAAAACACAGACAGTCAAATTGAACTAAAGTGTCTCTCCTGACCCACTTACTGCAGATTCAGACCACTAACTTGTTGCTTAATGCGTCTCTCACCACCTGATTATCATTTCTGTGTCACATTAGAAATAGCACAGAAGGAAAGCTATGAAATAACATGTAATGAAATAAAGATAAGTTCTGCTTCTTATTTCTTTGTTTCATTAACACCCTGTCTCCCTGTAGACAGTGAGAAAGGTGTCTGTGCTGCTGTATTAAAGAACAAAAGTAGAGAGACAGTTAATTGTCCTGCTTTATTCATTACTATGAACATATGTATTGTGATTTAAATCAATCCTACACCGTCCAGCTGCTCTGTATACTCACTACAGCACCAAATGTATATTAATCAACCGCAAAACACAGTCCCCAACAAATGCACTAAACTTTTTCGGACTCAAAATACAGGCAGGTGACATTTTTTCAAAGGATATTCCCTCTTTTTGAACAGTTTCAGGAACAAAATTGAAATTTTTTAATTTTCTTTCCGTGCTGGTTTTCAAGTTGTATCTTTAATTTGCCACCTGTTGGTATTTAGCAGTTTCAATATACATCAAAAAATTGAGTTTCTGTTTTCTTTTCTTTTTTTAAGACGGTGAATACACGGAGATCTTGTTGTTGTCCATTAGTTCACATGTACACAGGTGTTTTGGTAAACAATGGAGCTTTTGTAAAACTCTAACCAGCCCGAACAGTTTCAGAAACTGCGTTTTCAGTGGAGAAAGGGAAAACTGAGCTTGTAAAGTCAAGTGTGTGCCCTGTTTTCTCCATTGTGAGGCGTCATTCATGAGGCGACATGTCGCACAACAGCGGCAATAAATACATCCCGGAATAGCGGACGTGGCTAAATAACCTTGCTAACAGGTCTTGACATGTCTACACATAAATGTGCAGTTACTCTTCCACTAGGAACAGAGGCGTCAGCATGCTCAGTGCAGGTCACTGCTACATTATCTAACACTCCAAAGTTTTTTTGTTGGAGAACGAAGGAGGAAACCCCCGTTTACAAAAATACCTGTGTACGTGTGAACAAGGCCTCGGATATACTTTTATCATGGCTAGGGTTAGGGTTACATATAACACAGTTTATATGGAGCAAAAAAATTTTCCATTTATTTTTTCATTCATCTATCTTCCACAGCTCACCCAAGACAAGATTTCTTGCCTGCCCACCCCCTACACCAGCAAGATGCCTGAAGCAGTCGACTGCAACTACATCCGGACCTACAGGGACAACGAGACGTCACAGCACACATTGGTCCTACCTGAAAAGCCCGTCATCGTGGAGGTGTTTGGTCGCAGGAACAACCTGGAAATCCCCCAGTATGTGTTTGTCAACCACTATTGCTACGAGAAGTTTGTCCACTGGTTTGCAAAGTTCTTCCCGTACCTCGTTGTGATCCACACTATGATCTTCATGGTAGCAAGCAGCTTCTGGTTCAAGTTCCCCGGGACGTCTTCTAAACTTGACCTGTTCGTTACCATCCTTGGGAAGTGCTTCGATTCTCCCTGGACCACAAGGGCCCTGAGTGAGGTTTCTGAGGAAAGAGGAGAGGAGAAGCTGGTTAGTTGGAGGAGGAACACCATGTCAAAAGATTCCACGGATCGAAGAGCAGATGACGAGGAGACTACTGGACTGCTTCTTCGCTCCTCGTCTGTCAAGTCTAACCCAGAAAAGAAAAACCCGGAGCTTCAGTCGGCCCCCTCCGTCTTGGATAAGAAGGAGGGAGAGCAGGCCAAAGCTCTGTTTGAAAAGGTGAAGAAGTTCAGAACTCATGTAGAGGAAGCAGACATCTTGTATGTCATGTATGTGCTACAAACGTCACTGAAAGTTTTCAAGTTCCTTGTAATCATTATCTACACGGCGGTGCTGGTACCGAACATCGAGATAATAGTGCGCTGTTATGTTCCTCCTGAGCTGACTGGTTTTGATATCTATTGCTGTAACCACACCAAAGCCCATCTTTTCTCCAAGCTTGCCTACTGCTATATCTGCTTCGTGGGAGTGTACGGAGCTCTGTGCATCTACACCCTCTACTGGCAGTTTCATAGACCTCTGAAGGAGTACTCCTTTGAGCAGGTCCGACTGGAGACGGGCATCAACGACATACCGGATGTGAAGAACGACTTTGCGTTCCTCCTGCACCTTGTGGACCAATATGATGCTCTGTACTCTAAGAGATTTGCCGTCTTTCTTTCCGAGGTCAGCGAGAGCCATCTCCATCAGGTCAACCTCAACTTCGTGTGGACCGCCAAAAAGCTGCGTACCCGCCTCGCCAGGAACTCCAGCAACCGGTTGGAGCTCCACCTTTCCATGTTGCCGGGGCTCCCCGACACCGTCTTTGAGATTCCTGAAGTGGAATCGCTTAAACTGGAGCAAGTCAATAATGTCATCATCCCAGCTAGTGTAGCAAAGCTGGACTCTCTTCGGGAGTTATCGCTGGTCTTCTGCCCTGCAAAGCTCCAGCTTTCTGCCCTGAACCACCTCAAGGCACATTTAAAGGTCCTGTGTCTACATTTTGAAAGTTTAGAAGATGTGCCTATGTGGATGTACACCCTGCATAGCTTGGAGGAGTTACATCTGTGTGGTCCTTTAGTCAGTGAGGTGTCCAAAAGTGCCACCCTGGAATCTCTTCGTCAGCTTAGAGCTCTGAGAGTCCTCGATATCCGCTCCAACCTTACTAAGATCCCACCCAGCGTAGTGGATCTTGCATTGCAGCTGCAGCGGTTGTGCATCTATAACGAAGGCGTCAAGCTCCAAGCTTTTAGCAGCCTGAAGAAGTTAACCAACGTAGTCTCGCTGGAGCTGGTGGACTGCGAGCTGGAGCGCATCCCAAGTGCCGTCTTCAGCCTGAGCAATCTGCAGGAGTTGGACCTGAAGGAAAACAAACTCACCACTGTGGAGGAGATCCTGAGCTTGCAGCACTGCCACCGATTGGTGACACTAAAACTGTGGCACAACAAAATCACTTACATCCCTGATCACATCAGTAAGCTGCACACCCTGGAGTCACTGGACGTTAGCTGGAACAAGCTACGAAAGCTTCCCTCTCGGCTGTTTTATTGCACCAAACTCAGGCACCTCGATGTCTCCCACAACCAGCTCACCACTCTTCCTCCTGAGGTGGGCATCCTGCAGGGCCTCCAGTTCTTCTCCGCTGCTTTCAACTTCCTAGAGATGCTGCCAGAGGAGCTGTTCTCCTGTAAAAGGCTAAAGACGTTGGTTCTCGGAAACAACTGCCTGTCGGATCTCAGCTCCAGAGTGGCCAGCCTGGCCCAGCTGGTCCGGCTGGAGGTTAAAGGGAACCGTCTGGAGTCCCTACCTGTGGAGATAGGGAACTGTCCCCTGCTGAATCTCAGCGGACTGATAGTGGAGGACAACCTGCTGGATCTGCTGCCATCAGATGTACGAAGCAAGTTGACTAATCGCTGAGTTTGTGGAGCTAAGGGCTGTTGCTGACTGAAAGAGAAACCATAACCAATGATTGACCACGAAAGGACAACCAAACACTAGAAAACATATCTATAAAACCAGTCATCATGAAATGTGCATTCAAATATGTGTCAATGAGTGAAAAATCAACCATAACAATGCCTTTTTTTATACTGTTGACAAGACAAGGGCTCAACACTTTACACGAATAAAATAGTGTCTTCTCTGTTTACTGAATATTTTGTGGATTCTACAGAGCACAAGTCAGGGGATTTGTAACCGTGCCGTATCCCGTTGGACAGGTTTACACGGCATGAGCGGGTGTTTCCCACAGTGCGGTGGCTCATGTTGCTCCCCTTTCAGACACTGAACAAGTGGAGGGAGAAAAAGCCTTTCAGTAGCAGAATAAAAGGTATTCATCTCTCTGTTTACACATTCAGTCAAACAGAGAAGACTGAAATCATTCGTGGGATTATAAATCAGAAGTCAAGTCAGCAAGATATTAAGCGATACAATAATTAACAGAGAGAAATATAATAAAACTGCTGTCTTTTAAAATACCTTTTGGATGAGTGATTGAGTGTACGTTCTTCTCTGTTTCATTATATTAAGAATGATTTCCTGTTAAGCAGCTGGAACTTAAACAGTGAGATGTAAATATGACCTAAAAATACAATGTTTATCTGATTGCACATTCTGAACATCACACTCTGGCCCAAATACAATTACAGTGCCTTTTGAACACACTGACGCAAGACAATAAAATGACTTAAAGGCTGCTAAACTGGAGGTCATTGTAGCTGCTCGTGTGTAGTTTTAGGATGAAGGATACATTAGGTGCTTTCAGTTGGAGTTTACTCTGCTCAGTCTATCTTAAACAAACAAGTGCACACTCTGTTTCTTCCTGTATTCTTCATTTGTTTCCCGCCCTTGTTCCCTCTGTGTACTTCTATGCCTCAGCATACACTTTTCCGCATGAACTGCAGTGCTGTCATGTCCTGGCTTGCATGGCGATAAAATGGGATCCTGTCAGTAATTTTACAGACATACCTCAGTAATACTGGTGAATACACTGACCTTCCTACACTGCCACACAGCTCCAAAGGTCGTAAGAAAGAATTACGTTTATTTTGTCAATATTTTATCATTTAGTTGGATTTCAGCAGAGTACAGCACTGAAATGTGTCCCCCCCCACACACACACAAAAAGCTGCTAATGTCATAATGCTTTGTCAATCATTTGCTTATGTATTTTCCTCTCTGAAGGCGGCAGCCAAGTGTGTCACCAGCATTAACCCAAACAGATGAGATAGTATCATTGTGACTAAGGCTTGGCTGGAAACAACAACATGTTATGTCTCCAGGGGTGTTGCTTTAAGTTGTCAGAGGTGATATCTTCAGTCAGACTTGAGTCTGAAATGGTGCCAGAGTCATACTTGTGGACTGTGCCTTTACGTCTGCCTTTACTGATGCAGTATTTACATTTTAAAATCAGATTGGGAAGCTCCTTACTGCCTTGAGAAGCTCTGATTTAAGGTCTGAAATGTCCGGATGTTGTTTTTCTGCAGGCTGTGATTCCCTGCAGCTTGATTTACTGAGTTGAAGAGTGGACAGTTTACAGTGACTCACCATCTCTGATTTCACCACAAGTTTTCAGTATGACAGTAAAGTGGTGTCAAAGTTCACAACTCATCAAACGCTTCATATTGTTTTACCACTGAGTGATTATTTTGCTTGTTAAACTTAAACGCCCATGAAGGAGAACTCTATGCAGCTGGAAGGATTTGGATATTGTGTTGTATCTTTATACAACACAAACATACCACTGCAGACATTAAAAGGTTATTGGTCACTGATTATTGCTCCTGTCGGCATGGTGAAGAGAAAAGGAAAAGAAAAACAGTCAGGTGGGGAGCAAGAAGAGGTCATTTCAGACTAAAAAGACTGACTTGTTGAAGCCTCATATTATCCTCTGCTCAACGTCAAAATGCATTCTTACACAAAAAGAAGATCCTTGAGTTTTTCCCCGTTTTCTTACATTGTAGTTGTATTACAACAATAACTCTTTCACTGTATGTGCGTATTCTGAGTATTAAAGAAACAGTGTGTAGCATTTAAATCCTACACACTGCACCTTTAAGACAATATAAAAAAAAGGCTTAACCTATCCTTTAACGCCTTCACCTGTTAACCCTTTAATTACTTTTACTATAATGACAGAGCGTGGGAGACGCAACTAATTCATCATTTTCATTCTCTATTCATTTGCAGATTATATTCTTGATTAACCGTTAGGTCTAGAAACCACGAAACAGCCCATGGGGATGTCTTCAAATGTCTTGTGTTCGACTAACGGTCTACCAGCCAAAGAGAATCATTTTTATTAGACAGTAAGACGAAGAAAAGCTGCAAATCTTTGACATTTTCGCTTGAAAAATGATTTATTAATGCAGCTCTAAAAGGGAGGTTAAGGGGCTTCCTTTTGAATGAGGGGGGTCTAAGAATAAAAAAAGAAACTATCACCACTGACACCCACTCCATCAACCGGGTGTGTTCAACAGTTAACTCCTTTGTGTTATTTATACCGTACTCCCCCTCAGTGTTGTCGTCATCATGCATTCCCACACGTCTATGTGTATGAGTGGGGGAGTAGGCTGAGACTTTTTTCTTTTGTACTTATTCTTGCAAACTCGTCAACTGTTACTGTAACCCTCCCAACCTGCAGAACAAACAAACCACAACAGTGTTCATACAGGGACTATCTGCACATCCAGCAACACACTCACAATAGTGAAGTAAGGTAGCTCTACCTAGTGGCTGGAGGCAGGTCGGTCTGACACTATCACGTTTACAACTGTTTTATATGTGTATAAGATTTATAGTTGTGTGTCTTTATTACGGAAGGGAAATGACTCCTCAACAACTACTGCTGAAGTACATTAATTGGGCATTTAAACTTGAGCTGCTCCAGTAGAGTTGTTCAATGCCCAAAAGTCAAATACTGTGGCTGGCTGGACCGTGCAGCTCCCTGCTGGCGTCCATCATCACTATGTAAATCTGAAACAGGAAGGTGAAAAACATGAGTAATGCAGACTGCAGTGGTGGAAACAGGATTTGGACATATAAGTAGCAACACTGTAAAAAGAATACTCCATTACGAGTAGAAGTCTTGTAATCAAACTTTCCCAAAAAGTACAAAATGCTGAATGTACAAAAAGTATCAAACAACATACTCATAAGGCAGAAATATAGGACCATGGAGTGTTACATTATTATTATTAATGTATAAGGATATTTTCAATGAGCCCAATTGAACTTCATCTTTTCCAGGGTACTTAATAAAAGTATAACCAAACATTAGTCATATCTCATAATATCTGATTATGTAGTCTGTGTGTATGCTATTTCGCAGTGAACTAGTAACTTTAGTTGGTAAAAAAAAATGCATTGGAGTAAAGAGTACAATATTTCCTTCTGCAATTGAAGTAATAAATTGCACAATATGTAAATACTCAAGGAAAGTAGAAGTACTTCAAAATTGTACTTAAGGACAGTACTAGAGTAATGTTACTTCCCGCCGCAATTGTTTGTCAAATCTATTTGTGAGAAGTGCACATGGCGCACACGTAAACAGCATACGTGGTCTCCACACAGCGGTCCAGCAGCACAGCAGCTGAACTGCATCTCCCTCCTCGGCTGGTGGAGTTGGCTCGTGGCACACAAGCAAACAAAATGCCCATTGTACTATAGCAGCCCCACAAACATCAGCAAACTGTGCCACCGTTACCTACCAGCCTCAACACAACAGGGCCCTCATTCATCTCGTTTTAATCCAGCTATCTGCGTGACCTTTGAGGGTGTTCACTGCGCAGTGCATTCCAGTGGGCAGGTATTGTAAATGCCCTTGATGAATCACCTTGGGGAAGTGCTCAACACTTGAGGAAACATGGAGTTAACACAATCACAGACAGCACACTCTTGATCTACAGGTAGAGTAGATTATTAAAAATGTAAAGGAAAATGTGTTTAACGAAGGACAGTTTTTGTAAATTGATTTTAGAATTCAAGTGTTTGTTTGGATCTCATTGCTAAAAGTATTTCTGATAGAATCTTAAGGTTGGTAAAGACTTAAAGTCAGTCAGGTGTTCCCAACCTTTTGGCCTTCCGACACCTGAAAACAAAGCAACGTCTACTTGGGGGCTCCTCGTTGCAAACACGTCATTGAGTTGTGAGCAGCACCACCTGTGCTTATTTACATTTAAATGTTTATAATAGGACAGAAGAGGTTAAACTTTCCTGTATTTCCCAAGAAAAAGTGCCAAAGAAGTCAGAAAACACACATTTATGTCGCAGAATGTGGATTTGTCATCTTTCATATCTCGTCAATCATGACCGTGTTGCAGCCCCATCGTGAGGTTGGGAAACACTGCCCGCCGTAATGGTTTGAATGCTGCTTCAAAGCCTTCTCCACACCACCAGGAATAAAATAGATGTGGGAAAAAATTTCCAACTTCCCATTAGCTAAAACACCACACGGTATAGAATGAAAACCAACTTCAAGTTCAACACTTTATTTTGTGTTTGCTTCTTCAAATAGCAAAGTGAATAATCTCACTTTTGTTTTAAAATTATTTATATAAATAACATTTTAACAAATCACAATAAATGTTGCTATTTACAAAGTCACGGGAATATTCAGTCCTATTCCAACAATAAATAAGAGTAAATTCAAAGTCTAAGTTCATCTAATTAATAGAAACAAAACTATGAAAAGCAATCAGGGTGCACCACATCAAGTTTTGTAAAAGTGTTTAAAAAACACATATAAGGTTTCAACTGTTTCATAATGGAAATAATGCAATAATTACAAAACACTGGGGAAACTATCTACAAATGTGCACTCCCAATTAAAAGGGAAAACAGATATATAAGGTGCCTAAATTGCACTGTGCAAAAGAGGTGTCTACTGTATATAGCCACCCATCCACTGAAAATAAGCTGCCAGGACAATATGTCCCGTGTCACATATTAATGCTGAGCCACTATTAACAAGAAAAAAGAATCCTTTAAACAGCAATGAATTCAAGTCACCAGGTTTGAAGCAAAAACAAAGTCAGATTAGGGGTTACCCAAAAGGCCCCCAGACTTCTGACTAACTATGAATGTGAGCGAAAAGCAAGTCCATCATATCGGGCACACATGAGGCCCGGGCCACGTCTATCGCTGTCTGGCCGCTTCTGTTGGCGTGCTTCAGGTCAGACCGCGGTGCCAAGAACTCCACAACATCCCGGTGGCCTTCCCGGATGGCAATGTGGATAGGCAGGGCGCCGCTCTGGTCCGGGAGGTTTACCGAAGCACCGTACTCTACCAGAACCTGCAGAGTGTCCAGGAATCCGGTTCGGGCCGCATCATGGACAGGCGCTATCCCGTGTTTGTCCTGGACGTTGGGGTCCGCTCCCTTTTCCAATAGCAAACTGGCGACCTTGGAGTTCCCCATCATCATCACCTGCAGGAGATATCGGAGGAGAGCGGAAGAGAGCGCACAGTCAATTCAATGCAGTAACTGTGTTAATGAGAATATAAAATACTTTAATGACATTACAGCCATCTTTATACAATCAGTTGTCACTTTATTGTAAATTCAATGTCTTTGGGGTTTGGACTGTTGCTTTCGGGGTCTGGGAATCTGTATGGATGATTCTCTCTATTTCTGACATCTTATAAACTAAACTTTTCAAAAGTTAATCAAGAGACTAAAAGGTAAGAGGAAACCATTTTTAATCACAGCCTTACTCTTTAGTGTCCTCTCATTATAACACAGACAGCACCACAAATACAGCCTCTAAAAGACTGGGATTTGGGTGACAGTAATATATATATATATATATATATATATATATATATACTAAAATAAAACAGACCGTCTTAATACACGGTGTTATAACATATTCATAACAGGTAAAAATCCAAGGCAGCCATATGTAATGTTATGTCACGAGGACAGGAGATGAGTCTCAACCAACGAACCACTTGCTCTTAGTTATTGCTACAGAACATGTATTTATGGAGTTAATAACGTTACCTCCGTAAATATGAAACCGGTCTCGGTACTCACCTGTAGCGCAGTCCTACCGAACTCATTGAGAGTATCGGGGTGCACTCTGCATTCCTCCAGGATCCTCTGCACCTCGCTCGTATTCCCGTTGGCTGCTGCCGACGTCAAAGCTTTACCGGCATCCATCTGACTCAGGACCATTATAGTCTCTCTTTCGGCCTGGTCGGTGGGAGATGTGCAACAGTTAGACCGAAAGTCAGCCAAGGGCTCCTCATGTTGGCAATGAATGTGTAATAATGTAGAGGTAACGTAACGTTAAGTCGGGATTCAGGAAGGCATCGCTAGCTAGCTACTACAGCATCCGGGCTAACGTAAGCTTCAGTTGACGCCATGTTATCGGACTACGCTAGCATAATGTTACATCAGCTCGTTTTACAAACCGTGCCTTTTTGAACAACAGAGCTCTGTGAAAACATTAGCTTCACCGGGAGAGAGAGACAAGTCACCTCTACTGAATCACACAAACAATTAGCATCCAGGCTAACCGCTAACACTTAAAAAAAGAGAAACTATAGAGCTTTTAAGCATAACGTTACCCCGTTCGGTTCCTTAATATCTACAACGTCGCAATGCTCTTCAATCCCGCCGTTTCTTAGAACCGGTAGTTTTTAAATAAAATCCAAACTGGGAAAGTTTATCAACATTAGAAAATACATTTGCGCGCTGAGATCTACACAGCGGTGTCTCCAGACTACAATTTACAAACATTGGAGAGAACACACGCTGACCAATCACAGCTCGCCGAGAGGGTGTTGCTCTTCCATATATGGTATAAGAGGCGGGGCTACAACTCTGTTACTACACTATCACTGTGGTAACAGCAGCAGTCGACCAATCACAACACGTAGCGAAGAAAGCGGGCGATTTGTATACGTTGATGTCTTCAAAGGGCAGTTCATTCACATTTCTGAACTGTGGTTGTACTTCTCCAAAGGCAAATGTGAAAAAAGGCGCGTGTAAGTTTTTAATTTTAGGCGGATTTTCGTGACTGTGATTGCACAATGTATGACTACAGTATGATGACAAAATCAGTCCATATATGGCATGGCAAACTAATGAGAAAAACCAAAAGGGGAACAACTAAAATACAAAGGTCACAAATTACAAATTGTTTATTAAAGGAATAATTTCATTAAGCATTTAACTAATCTGCAGTGATCCTACAATACAAACATTAAAATCAAGTTGCACACAGATTTCATAAAACAAGATTGCTGGCATTAAATAGAGAAGGTGAAATTTCAAGACATTCTTTCACTAGGTCAGTATTGATGTTCCTCTGGAGGTCCTGGTGGGATACAGCAGGCTTTACACATTGCTCCTCAGCTGGTAGTCTAAATATAAAGAGAACAAATGGAAGGAGGAATTATAAAAGTGAAATATGATTCAATTTCCACATCCATGTGTATCTGACCACTTGCTTTAATAGTATAGTACGTTCTGAAACAGTAAGTCGTATTGAGGTCTAATGGAAAAATATGAATGAAGGCTACCTCCACTCTGTGTAATGTACCGGACCCACGGTAAAGCCTGGTAACCACTTTTCTCAATGATCTTCATATATCGCACCTGGTGAAAAAGAGTGAGGGAGACATAATCGTGTTGAGGCAAGACACATTAATGTGCATCGGGAATTCAAATTAGAACTAGTTTTCCAGTCTGAGCACACAATATCAGCTGTAACAGGACCGGACTTGACTATGCACAGGTTGTAAACGCCCCTATGCAAAGCTGTGATCTTCTCAGGTGACTGAGTTTTATAATTGTACATATCGATATATGAACACGATACATCATGCTCTGATGCTCCAGATCAGTATAAATGTCTTCTGCTCACAGGTGGACTTGACTCATACTACCACAGGCTAAATTTTGGGATTGTTTGACATCAAAGGAGAGACTCGGTACAAATACACACACACCTGTATTCCTGAGACTGTGAAGTATGGGATCTCAAATTTGACGGTAATGGGAGGTTTGCCCTCAAGCTCATTGTTCTCCACACTCGGCAGACCAAAATGAGCTCTCATTAGAAACTCTTTACCTCCCTGGATGGATGGATGGATGGATGGATGCACACAGAGAAATGGATTAGACAGACATGCAGAGAGATGAACAGACAAGAAGACAGACAAAGAGTTAAATACAAAACAAGTTCTAATCTTTCATCAGAACATCAACTGCAATAATACTTAAAGAAAGTAATACAACTTGAAGTCAAAGCCTTTGCTTTAAAATGGTACATAATGAGTTGATTTCTTACAGGGAAAGACTTGATGGTCCACACCACCATGTTCTTCTCGGGCACATATTTGGCGTTGCCAGTGCTGGTTTTGAACTTGGGTGAGTCGGCATCACTGGGGACGGGGACCCTCACCTCCACGTTATTTGCCACAGACTGTTTTTTAAATTGCCCCTTCGCCTAAAAATACAACACAACGGTTACTGTAAAAGCTAGTTCATGGTATGGAGACTCTTTGCTTCAATTCTTTTGTGCAGTTTTCTAAAGAACATTTCCAATACTGTCGGTCAGTACCTTAACCATGATCTCCACTCTACTGTGAGAGAATTTCTCGATGACTGATTCAATCCAAATCAGAGGCTTCACCTGGAAGAGATGAATGGGGGGTGTCATTAAATAAACATTCAAAACAACGTAAAAAGGATTTCTTGAGTTACATATGCAAATTAGTCAGTGTATTTATGTTCATTTAATTCATATGTTAACATGCATAGTACTATAAAGCTAAATAAGGCTTTCGGAACTGCAATACTTGACTCATTATTTCAGCACAATTTGTGCTTTTGCACAATGAACAACTCATGTATATCCATCTATCTATCCATCTATCGCCATTTCTAACCGGTAGAATATGACATTAGCAATTATTGTACTCCGACCGTCTACACATACATGTATTTACAGGGCTTAAAGCGTGTATCAAATGCAATGTGTGAATGCAAGGTGCTGAACTGGACTAACGTGGGTGTTGATGCGGTACGACATGAGTTCAGACTCCCCGTCTGGAGGAATGAAGGAGATTGTTCGATCACTATCAAAGCGCGAGAGACGGACACACTGGTGGAACTTCACATCCTCCATCACCACCGTCTTGCCCTTGTCACCTGAACACATAACGATACAGTCAGTGGTAATTTATTTAATTACATATCTACATATCCGGCTAGATAACTGGGGCAACAGTGTACGTACGTCCAGTGAGAGCGAAGAGCACTCGGTCGTTGAGGCCCAGCCGCAGCTCTGGCATCCCAGAGAGCATCGTTTTCAGCTTGATGCTGCCCACGATGTCACTGCTCATCACACTGCCGTTGGCATTCACCTGAACGAACAATACGCAGTGGTGAATTAATCAGAATACTTTGTTTGAATTATTAATAATACACGTTATTTTTGTATAGCACCTTTCATACAAGAAATGCAGCACAAGAAAGGGGAAATACACTTAATATTAAACATAAAATAAAATGTGAAATATGAAAAATGATGGAGAAATAAAACACATTTGATATAACAAGATAAAAATAATGATGAAATAGAATACATAACATAAGATGGGGAATAAAACCCACTGAATAATAATGATAATATGAAAATTAGTACGCATACTTGCAGCACCCACGTACACATAAATAAACACTGCAGCAACATCAAAAGGTGGCCATTATTTTCACCACATCGGTGGTGTAGATTTGAATTTTTTGTGCAATGGACACTCATAGTATCTCGCTTCGAGTGCACTCTCTACCACTCGGCGCCGAGGCTATCAATCAAATCAGTTTGCACAGCGTCACTAAAAGCAAGACTTGATATCATCGTCGCCCATGTAACATGAAGAAGCCACTGCAGTACCTCCACTACCACCACTCCTAGAGGTACTTAAATAAGAAGCAGCAAATGGATTAGGTGTAACAAAAGCAGTAAAAAACACAGAAAGTTCATGCACTACTTGCTTCATTATGGCCCATACAACAAAACAAAATTAGCTTGAACTACGTAAAAGTGATATGAGCAGCACACATGATACAAATTTTCGCACAAATAATAAGAATTAGCCCGACATCCCGTCTTACCAGTACGTTGATGGACTCGATGACATCAATAAAGACCTCGTTCTTCTTGTATTTGATACCCTCTGACCTCCAGGAGACGGCGTTGGTGACGGTGGTCGGCACCTTGGATTTCCCCACCTCGAGCTTGGCGCCTTTCTGAGTGATGTATCTGCGAGGATTGTGAAGAGAAGATGCTGTGATTCAGCTACACTCTCTCTATCGATACTCAGAATATTTACGCACGCCTGCGCATGACGTGTGCATCTTGCGAAGCCTCACTCCTGTAGGATCTTGCTGTCGGTAGTCTGAGGGAATCCAAAGTCCATCAGCTCATCCAGCAGCTCGTAGACGACCACAAAGTTATCCTGAATGCTCTCCTCCTCCAGCTCTTTGAAGTACTCTGTGAACACCTGGACAATACACACAACCCATAACAGCCTCATCTGTGGTTTTACTGTGGATTATCACCATCAACACCGCCTCGTCACACAAATACTGCACGCAAACATTTCAATTATAAGTCACATACAGGGGCGTGACTCACCTCGACTAGTTTGTATAGAAAGGAGTACACAAGGGAGGCGTTGGAGTTCTTGTTTGTCGTGGACACCACTGTGCAGAGATCAGGTCAAGGAGTATTCTACACAGTTAAGATCACCGCTATTGTTCACTTCCTGACATTTAAAATTGAAGGATTTAATTCAATAATCTGTGATCTTATCATTGTCGTTATTTCTTCACGACTCTCAATAACCAGTAGATGGAAGCCGCATCTCGCACAAGGATACGGTACAGGTTGCTGTGTTTGATCCACATGAAGTGGACGTTGCCGTGTGACAGTACCGGGCAGAGAAGCCCTTCCTCTTCGTGTTGCATGAGTAAAGGCAGGAAGTGGTCGATCTCCGCCATGTCCACGTCGCCTTTGTAGTTGCGACAAATCAACACCTGAGCAGGGGGGAGAATAACACCACACGGGGGGAAATCAGACAACTGTGCATTAAACTAATTATGGTTGAGAGTTACAGAGAAGACAGCTTTTGTAACACAACTTTAAAAACAGAAAAATAAATGCTCAGATTCCGAGAGAAATTACAAGAAATAATGTTGCAGAGCTTGAAGTAACATTTTGTCACAGTAAATTATGCAAACAGTGAGATGTGCGACCTAATGCTGGACGGCTGCTGATGGAACAATATTTAACTTGTGTAGAAAAAGAAAGTTTAATAAAAAGGTTTTATTAACAATATTAGTGTGATTGACTCTTCTCACGAGTACACTGACTAGG